AATTTATTCAAATAATGCCATATTATTAATAAATAGTGAATTTTAAAAATAATTAGGCAAAAAATTTAAATCTCAAAAATAAAATAATCAAAACAAATTATTACAAACTGGACGGAGATGAGTTAATAGATTTTGTGATAACAAATATATTAAGTAAATATTTGGTAGGCAGTAGGCATCTACATAATATTTTGATAGTCATGGCAAGTATTTACACTTACGAGTACCTATATGAAAGTATAATAATACAATAATATAGTGTTGATTTAAATTATTCTGTTAATCGTTTCTCCTCATTTTCATAACCTGCGCATATAGAACCTATCTATTAAAATTATTTAACTAAAATTGAAACTTATGAACTGAAAATTTGAAATATTATTTTTAAAAATAAAAATTACTCTGGTGCATTTTTAATACTTAATTTATATTTATATATATATATATACGCACGTTGGTCGTAAATTAAAATAAAGACAATTTAAATAAAAATTGGATATTCATGTGTTATAGCCAAAATATTTTCATCTTTTAATCTAACTTAGCTATACACACAATTATTGCAGATCTTATAAAAACTGCTAAATGTATATTTGGTTGAGTGATCTATACCTTTAACTGTTATAACCTGAAAATCCAATAAAAACAAAAGCTATATTGTCACTACTGAGTGGCTTCTTCAGTCAAGCAATTTACCCTTCAGTCAAGCAATTTACCGTAATTTATATTCATCAATCATTAATTATAATTATTGTAGAGTACAGATTGAATATATTTTTGAAAATAAAATAAATAAATAAATATGATTTCAAATATATTTGGTTTAAGTTCTCACTTAATTAATTTATTGTACCCTTTTCACACAAATTTCAAATTTTGCCCAATCGCCTCTATGCGTTATAAACTATAGTGTATAATATAATATATATAGACAATGTTAACTGTTCTAGATTGGTGGATTACTATAATATTATTAAATTGTAATAATATTGTACGTTTGAACGTATCAGGTACGTAATTATATGCGTATTAATAAAACTTAACTGTCTTAACTCTTAAGAAATAATTTTTTAAATTGTTTTCAAATTGTATATTATGAGAAAATATACAAGAATTTAAGCTTATTTTTTATTTTAGTTTTAATATTACTTGTAATAAAAGCATAAATGAAAATTACATTGAAATTGAAGTAACTATAATAAATGTGATAATAATTTTTTTTTTAATCATCTTTAAGGTAATTAATATTTGCGAATTCATTGTCAATTAAGTAACAATTATTGTTACGCATACGTAGTTATATAGTTTTGGTTTTAATGGCTATAACCGCATATATTAACTGTATTAACTTAATGTTGTTCTGAATTTTAATCTAGGTATTTTAAAGTAAATTAGATAATAAATTGCAATTATTTGGTATTACACCAAGATAATATTGTGTTCAACATAATTATTTATTACAATCTTAATAATTTAAAAGTATCCTTTATTAATGGCTATTTATATACCTACCATCTATTTTGATTTAGCTAGATAATTAGTTTAAAATTAGGTACAAAACAGATATATCTGTAGAATAAAACCAAAAAATTAGTACAGATAGTATAAAAATCTATGCATAATCATTTAAATTGAAAAAAAGAGCATATTTTAATAAAAAAAACATAGTTTTTCAACGAAAGCTACCTTATGTATCCATCAATTTAGAAATCGTGTATATAATTACCATGAAAATAGATTTAGAACTGTAATATTATAATTTAAATTAGTTCCATTATATACTTAGTTTTAAAATTTTAAAAAATGAACTCGTTCATTATATGAATGTATATTAATAGATTATCTATATTAATTTATTGGTCTGAATTCTAAGCGAAAAATATTTAGATAATAAATTGTAATTCACTTATAATATACAGGTTTATTATGTATTATATGTTTATGTGATAAATATAATAAATGTTGATTTCATTCTATGTTTGTATTCAAGTGATATTTTTTATATTATTCCAAAGTCATGGTACGAATTAAAATAAAATGCTGTTCGATCATTTGATAGAAAAAAGGCATTGAGTTGTGTCTATTTGCATTAAAGTACAACGGCACTATAGTGCAAGTAAATAATAAATATACAATATTATAACAAATACACACAGCAACTGTTAATATAAAATATATACGGGTTTCACTTAATAATACTATTTTAATGCACAGTGCACATTCTTATCTTAATCGTCTAATTAGGCAGTTGACCTCTATATTATAATGTACCACATTTCTTTTGCTAATTGATTTTTTATTGTACCGAAAAAAGTTTACTATTTTACGGTGGTCCCTTTCAAATATTAATTAACTGATAATAAATCTATCACTCGAAAAAAAATTAGTACTTTTATATCATATAAGTACTATTATATTCATATATCTTTTAGAATCGCCACCCGTTTATTTTAGAATAGGTGTACAGTTTAGCCAGTATCTACATTCGCGTAATTTTGTTTTAAAACATTACTTTATATACCTAATTTGGTTAATGAATGTGTAATTGAATCAATTTAAAACTCATGTAAGTGTAAGGTTTATACGAAGTAACTAAATGTCTATCTAGGCATAAATTGTGAATTAAGTAAATTAGGTCATATTTTTACCATATAATATATATTTTAAGAAATTGCAAATCCATACTTTCTAATTTTAATCTATTATCTAAAAATAAATAAATAAAATGTTCTAATGAGTTATGTTCTTACTATTAATTTTTTTGTTCTTATGTTTTTCACGATTTTATATACGTACCTATACGTATTAATTTAGGAATATTTTAGTTATTTTAAATAATTGTTCCAAATTATATATTAGTTATGTATTTTAGATACTTTTTTTTATTCTTATTTTATTTAATCAACTAGTATAACTTGTGTTACCTGTTTACCTTATAATACCAAGTTGTGTAGGTTAATATAAATAATTGAAACATTATGTTTATATCAAGTGAGTCCATTTTGTTTAATAGTGCAAAACCAAAAGCTAAATCACGTTAACTTTATTTTTTACCATAATCTGTTTAATAGTATGAATTTGATCAGTTTGATTTTTAATATCTTGCTCGGAATTTAATCTAATACAAATATTTTTGCATTTGTGCTGTGACTAATAACCTTGATAAAATATTGAATATATTATAAAGCGAAATATTATGGTATTTCATTTTATTAACATTTATTGTAAACATGGTTTTTATTTTTATGAAAATGAATTATTTTGAACTTGAGCCCAAGGATTTTTTGAAATAACTTATAACAAATAAATAATTTTATACTTATAATAAATAATAATATATTAACAGCTTTGGTATTGTAAAATTAAACATTTATTTTATGAATTGTTTATTTTAATGTCACGTATCTGTTGTACATTATAACTGACTTACAAATTATTATGAATTTCTGCTCTAAAAGAGAAAATATAATTTCAGTGTTTAGCAAATCGATCCGGAAACGATGTGACAATTATTATTGTTATTATTATTGTATACTTGCATGTATAGTAAAACATATACGGATTATTATGAATATAGGTGGAAGAGGGTTAATGGGTACAAATTGTTAGAACTAAATTATGAAAAACTGCACGAAATTGCGTTACGTTAGATGTTTTTTTGTCTGTCGAATGACTGCATTGTTGTCGCCACACGCCAGGTTCCTTTACATATATGTAATAGTGTCCATAAAATAATAATAGCGCCGAAACAATCGATATATGTGTATAGTGATAGTGAAAGTGAATCTTAAGAAAGACTTTTATAAACAATTTTTAGTAGTTTTCATATTTTCCGCTATGTTATATAATTTGCAATAACATTATATAAAATATGTGTGTGTGTGTGTGTCGTACATATTAATATGTTATTTTGTTTTTGATATTATAATAACGATTTATACAATATTTTATTTTTAACAACAGTGTATAATAGTAGTCGCATTTACGAAGGATTACAAAATTATGCACACATAGGTCACGGTTTTCCATTACTGATTTTTTTCTCTTTCAATACAGTTTGCTTTTAAAAATTATTTTTTTTTTTTTTCGGTCAAATAGGTTTCGTAATTATTATAATAATGATATAAAAATCGTCATATTTCCGGTATCAAATGTACACACTCGATTGATTAGACCTTTATATCGAGTTCACCTACTTTGGGCTCATCACACTGCAACAAAGTTGACGATGATAGTTTAATAAAGCATAATGTCATACGATAATACGACGCTTCCCCCTATCTGGGACGAACATGAGTTTTTATATATACTCTTATAACTATGTTCTTTTTTTTTAATGACTCGTCGCTTTCGGAAGTGGCAATCAACAAATTTTCTTTGTTCGCACTCTATATGATTAGCATCTGCAACTAAATACTTATTGTTAAGTTGCTGTAGGAGGTACCCGGATAGACGGCGACAACGGCAGCGGCCTTGTCGAACGATTGGACTAGTCGAAAAAAAATAGTATTTTTATCGGCTCCAAACATAACGACATCGTGATAAGTGAAATCAATTTAGCCTGAATAAAGCACATGGGAGAAAGTCAACATGTATACCAATATAATATATATCGTAGGTACGGAAGTTGTAAGTATCATGTTATTATTAATATCGTGTCAACGACGTTATAGATATAATATTATTATATGGATAAAAATATATTAATAAATGTTGCCCTTGTCCGCTTATTTTTTTAAAAATAAGTATCATCGAGTTGAATCCTTATTTTTTTAATGTATATAGGTAGTATCTATACATTTACTATGATGAATAATTTATGAAAGAACAATCGTGTTCATAAATATCTTATAATAAATTATTAGTATGTACTTGATTTAACAATTTTTATCTAATATTGCAACATATATAAGTATAAAAAAATTGAAATTCTTGACTAAATCAAAATCAAACGGAAATATACATAAGATGGTCAGAAAATTATGTTAGAGAGAATGTGTTTACTCAGAGGGCGGCAAATTTTCTGCGTTATCTAAGTCGTTAATAACTGGGATAGGGTTCTCGAACACAGGCGTCAACATCATGCTGGGTCCATAACAACCTACATGGTCGATGATAAAGTCCTGTATGTTGCTCTCCAAAACCCATAGGATGCCTTCGCTATCCACATCCACGTGTGTTATCAGTCGACAGTCTCTACTCTTTCGCGCAACCATGAAGTTCTCTTCGAGAAAACTATGTTTCGTGTCCCAGCTGTACAAGTGATTCTGGCCCTTAATTCGGAAATACAGAACTGACCCATAACCAACGCCTAGTAACACCATTTTGCACGGTTTCTTACCTGAAATACATCTCATTTGATCATGTTATCGTGGATAGTTATATTTATTTTTTATTAATAGTTATATTAATATATTATAATTTATAATATCGTAAATGATCAGTGGATGGAAGTATCATGATATGAAATCGATATTAACCGTAAAGACATTTTCGAACACGTTATAGTATATTATAATATATTATTCATATTTAAATCTATCGAAAGTCGTCCTACCTTACCCATGTTAACTATACACTTGGAGTTCATGCGTTTTTGTAGATCTTTGGTCCGGGTCCGAAAAATATCCTGACTCGATAGGTACGTGAAGTAAATGTAATTTCCAGTCTCCTGTTCTATTAACATCATATAGAATACGTCTTCCATTGGGTTTTCTGAGCATCCATCCACAATTGTGTGTGATAACTTTATCTTGTACCCTTCGTTTTTCTGAACATACCACACGATTATTGATCGCGTACCGCCATCACCCACGTAAAGCACCGTCATCGTATCTGTGACTTGTTCCACTGCTAGGTACTGTAATCTACTTTTGGCCCGGCAAATCAAAGTGTTCAATGTGATCATGTGCTTGACCTGCAATGGATTATTGAATGTTTTCATTGTCATCAAATATACTGTTTACATTTTTTTCTTTTTCCTCTCTTCCTCTCCCGTTACACTGATATGAAGTATCACAAAATATCTTAACCATCTAAAATCTTACAAGACTCGTAACTATATATTCATTCAATAAATATATTTGAAAATACTCGTACCAAATATTTTCATAAAGAGTTAAACATTATAATATGAAATGAAATTTATTAGTTTTACACTTTTATCTAAAAACTTGTATCACTATTTTTATTTTTAAACAACAGTATATTTACAATTTCTTATATTATTATAAACAATAAGTAAATTTGGTAATTTAAACTAAGATAACAAAATAAAATAATGTATTGAGAGATCCTACCGATGTAGAAACTCTCTGACTTAAGAGAAGAGTAATTTAGTTTGGTTCATTAATATTGGGACATCTATGTCTTTTTAGTCAACATGGGAGGAGTGTATATTACTATGTAAAATTCATTCTCAAAGTAATTTACTTTTGATGGGACGAAAATATTTGTTTCATTCTATAAAACTCTATAGCTATATAACACTATTTATATTTGGATAGTTTACTTTTTTTGAAAATATATCGAACCCGACGATTTTAGGATCGCATATTCTCGTTGGATGGTCACTGAGAGTGTCTGAAATTCCTGCATCTAACACCCAAAGAGTACTGTCACATCCCATCTTTAAATCTATGGCATTGATTAATGTTCCACTATCACTTGTCCCAATCACCATATCTTCATTTTCCATGCATGGAAACGGACTCACATAATTGTAACACTTTTCTTTGTGCGTGAATTCCGTGTAGCTTAATGTGAATGGTACTCCACGTCTTAAATCATGTATAAAATATAAAAACTAGTAATAAATTAAAAATATATGTATAAAAAATGGTATAATACATTAAATTGCGAATGGAAAATTATTATAATATAATACATTTTGGCTTTTTAAATTTACTAAGCAAAAAACACATGGTAACGGCAGTGTGTTCATTATTTTTCAATATGCATATGTATAATATGTTATATAACGTATGACGACAAAGTTACGTCGTATTTAGATTTTACTCTAGTTACTACATTCATACATAATTCATATTACATATATTATCATGTTAATGGTATACAAATCTAAAATGTCTTACTTGTAACGAGGAGCAGCCAGAAAGACTCGATCAGAACTCATCTGAAATCTTGTATAAATTATATTTTTGGGTATATATCGTTTTTCGTTAACAAATTTTTCTCGTATCTTGCTTGACGGCCACAATATATAGTGGCCATTCAATATGAGTGGCATATTTTGGATGCTACTATTATCTGTTTTAGCCAATCGAATGAGGCAAACTAACAAATGCAAGCAGTTAAGTTTCATAATGCCCAGTGATATTCTGTAGAATTTATGGATTCGCGAAACATGTTGTTGATACTGAATTCAAACAATATGTATTTTGTTACTTTAACAACGGTTATTTTAATTTCTTTAAGGCTTTGATTTTTAATAAAATTAATTTATAGCACATTTGTATTTAATAATCAAACGTTTGTTTTAAAACATAATATAATGATACTAAAAAATTGTATCTAAATTATTTTAAACATTGTAAGATTTTAAATAATGTTGATAATGGAAATAGTAGAAAAAAACTTTTGAGTATTTTTACCGCTTTAAAACCAAATACAGGATCTCAAAGATTATTTCTCGATTTAAATTATTTTTTTCATTTTTGTTTGGTATGTAGTACTTAAGTACTTATATGTGTAATAGTAAAACGTAACATAGAATATTTTTATTCTATAAACGTTTAATAATATAGATGTTATAAAAGAATATGAAATGCATAATAATATATTGTGTATATGTGCGTGTAATGTACGTAAGTCAGTGACGAACCCAGGGAAGTAGAGCCCAAATCCGGACTCTCCCCCCCCCCCACTTGGCTTATGTCATAATATTAGTTTTTATTTTTTTAAGTTAAATAAAATTATATAAATTTAAGTTTAATAAAATTTTGTTTATTAAGCAATAAAATGTATTTATTATTTAAGGAAAAGCACAGAAAAACAGTAGATAAATACATTTTTTTTTTTTGGACCCTTCTTCCTCTTGAATAAATTCTGGTTGCACCACTAACGTACGTGTATTTCGTTGATAAGAATACAAAATTTTTTTTTATAAACCAATAGTTTTGATAGTTGATGAGTATAATAATAATTGTTGAATCGAATTCGTAAAAAAAAAAAAAAAATTGTAATAACAATTAATTTATAATTGTGTGACAATGTGAGTCACATATACTTCAAAACAAAAAAATTAAATTAAATAAAAATCACTCCTAAAATCATAACGACTATTATGGGTATTTTAATATGAATAAGATATGGACAATATGGATGTTTTCAGAATTTCGGCATAAATTAAATGAATCAAGCATATTTTAAAACAAAAAAAAATTAATACTGCTTAGACTCTTATGACTAATCTTATAATATAATATTTTATTAAACTAACATAACATTACGTTGACACAATTTTATTTTTTATTACTTATACTATTATATAGTCTTGCAGGGCTGTAACCTCCAATAATCGAATATGACTTTTAATAAAGAGATGTGCAATGTACATATATGAATGGAAAAAAATATTATTCATGTAAAATATAATTACATTGTAGTTCATTGAAATGTATACACCTTTCCTCTCCCTAAAAAAAGTACAAACAAGTCGGTACTTAATATCGTCTATACTATACACGTATGTGGTTTTTCTTTCGTCATAAATATCGTATTTCGACGCGATCGATTGACTGTCATATTAATAGTAATAATACTATCCAAACTATATAATAATATGTACATTAACATAACAGCCACCGACGAAATATTTTACGCGATTTTTCACGGTGAATACTAGTAATTTAATCAATGACAAGCAATCTTGATGAATTTGAAATAATAACTCGAAAACGCTCGTTGACGACGTCTACTCTGTTTGTCACGCCATTCGAGGTACTCGTAAATAATAAAATGTATTATATTATATTGTAGATTTATATGCGTGTTTGATTAGGTGAGAATTTCGCTCAGTTGTTTTATTTCCGCAGTCCCAATTTTTACTTTACCTCATTTTGTTGTAATGATCATAATCCATTTTAAAAAGAGTCATTTCCGCATGTATGCGTCTTTCAAACGTATTACATATTAAGTTTTACGTTTGCAGTAATCCATTATGTTATTTTTAAAATTAGAGTGAATTCACTTATTATAAATTTTAAATGTATGATTATTTTTTCGCATATCTCAAGGGCTCATTTTGATATTTTAATTATGAAGCAAGTTATGAGAATTTTAAAACCTTATATTTTTTAAATATTTTAAAATGCCCATAACTTGCCTCAAAATTAAAATATCAATATAATCATATGGATTACTCTGGATAATGAATGATTTTAATATTTTATACTAGGTCAATTCGCTTTAATTTTAAAAATAACTAAATAAAATAGATTATTGTGAACTTAAAATTTGGTATGTTGTATGTTTGTAAGACAAAGACAACATATTTGGGTGTGGCGTTTTTTAAACTTTAATGTGGATGAACTCTGGTCCTGATAGAGCAAGTATCACTCCTAGGAATATAATGTATATGATCAAATAATGAGTTCGTATGTAAAGGTCGTCGTTGTTAAAGCGGCTGCATCTGCGCCACCTGTGATGTGTAATTTTGAATTGGCGGCTAACTAATGCGTCTCATTACGCCGTCAATCATTATTAGGATAGTCTGCTGTACTTAAGGTTTTTCAGGTTATGCAATTATACGTATGACATGATGCACGCTATCATATAGGATATATAGTTATTATTATCTTTTCACCTTCCCAGTCTTTAACTATCTCTCTCTCTCTCTTAAGTCTTGAGGGTTCATTGGGTTCCGAACTGCGCACATTAGGTTATTACTGGATTATTTTCTAGAATAATATATGTTCGCGCGCGTTCACAATGTCGTTAATTTAATTATCCATCGTCCATGGGCTTTTATGTTGTTGTCGTTGTCGTTGTTATGTTGTTGTATTTGTGTATGTATGTGTACAGTGTACGCGACGAGGTCTTTTGGCTTCTATTCTGGGTACAATTTTTTACTTTTCGAAGGACTCATCTTATTTGTTTTGTACACGCAAAATAGAAATAAAAATCAGGTCAAGTAGTTGTAGGCTGCGACCAAAAAATAACACATTTAGAAGATTCAAACTCTAGGTCATTGTTCTTTGAGTAGATCAACGGGTTAGCCTATAATACTCACTCGTCTTAATACATATTATGTGTTTATTGAAATATAGTATGTGTAGTTTTTAATAATTTTTTTTATATAATTTTATCACTTTTGTTAATATTTGATTTTTTGATGTAGAATCGTAAAATATTGAAGTATTTTAATAATTGTGAGTCTCAAATCCTAACACTTGTAATTTATTGAATTCAATTGTTAAAAATAAATATAAGAAATCAACGAGGTTAACGAAAATATGTTCAATAAAAATAGCCAACAGCATTAAGCCGTAATAATCGTTTAAAATGTTCTTAAATTCAACTTTTAATTGATAAAAATGTAAGTATTATAGGTATTTAAAATTATTATTTTCAGAATTATGCAACAAAAATAATTTGGGTACAACATGTTGGTTATAATAAGCTTATAAATCACTGTATGGTATTTTTTTTTCAAAAATAACGACAGACTTAATCATTTTTCAACAAAACGTTTTTTTTTATATCACACATTTGACTTATAAATAATGTACAAGGGTGTATCATAATGATTTAACACATTCAATTGTGTATTTTTAATATAAATTTTTCATATTTCCAAGATACACCATTAATCAATGTGTACCTATTATACCTACCTGTATTCGATATTGAGGTTAAAATAGTATGCAATTATTTAAAGATCTACTATTTTATTACACAATAACACTTAAAATATATCTACAAATTTTAGTTTTGTTGTAGAGTTTTAAGTTTTATATTGATTATTTTCGCCAGTCGGAGAATACTTATAAATCCTGCAATCGTTACTCAATTGTGCGATCGTGGTATCATTAGTTAATATGTTACTATATGGACTGAGTTTCGTTTATTTCCCATAAAAACAATAGTGTCGTCCGAATGATTCATTTGTGTATAGTTATTAGTAGTGGTAGGATCGTATCTTTAAATCGGTTCACCGCGCTCGAGTTGTCGTCTTGTAGTGCCACATTGTTGCGGCTGACGAGATGAATCATCACGCGTGGTGGATCTCGATACATTGCATTAGGGGGTTGATCAAACAGGTGTGATTCATAAGAGGTTTTTGAGCAGGATAAAGGGGGTGGGAAGGGTAGAGGGGCGTGTCGTTGACTTAAAACTTGTTTATTATTATTTTTTATTATCATTGTCCACCGGCGATAAATGCACGGCCGCCGCAAAGATGAATCATCGTCACTAATCACTATATAGATACCTATACATTTTATAATATTATATATTGTAAATCATGTAATCCATTTACCTAAATATCTACCCGATAATTGATTTGTTAAAAAAATAAATTGGGGTCCTGGAATGACGTTTGGGATTATTCTTCTGAGATTCCCGACAAACGAACAACCACGACAGTTACATATCGACCACGAAGACGTCGTTGTCTTTCGCCGTTTAACTTCTCAGTCTCCGTTCGTGCATATTTACCTATACGTTACATTATTATATGGTACGCCAACGACCTATGTACCTACTTTAAATCTAAATAGTAAGTTTATAGTTTTTACATTTATTTTTTGATGTTGCTATGTTATAATTTATATTTGTATTTTATAAAATGTTCGTAATATGTTCTTTGAATTACCGAGATACAATTTAATTTTTAGTTTTTGTATACAATTTATATAAATATAGCCATATTATAGGTGCATGACTATTGAAACAAATATTTAAATTATGAATTATTTTAAGTAATGACATGAGCGTTAAAAATGTAGAATACTTAAATACTTTTTGAATTTTTAAATTAAATTTCACTAGATATTCACATAAAAATGTAATATATGCGTATTAATTATATTTTTCCACTCATACTTTTAAGATAATTATTCATTTATACATATATGTATATAACACGTGCATGATGTTTAGTGTGCAACTATTAAACTTAATTAATTTCCACGAAGTCATTGTAACAGTTGCTTTATTACACGAAAAACATAAATACTTTTACTACCTAACATTTTTTTTTTTTTTTATTATTATTATTAAACGAATAATATTTATTAAATATTTTATTACAACCTGAATAATTATTATTTATAAAAAAATTATAGAACTATGATTTTCAAA